GACGCGGGCACCTACTCCTGGTTCACGCTCACCAGCACCACCGAATCCGCCACCAACACCACCACCAACTTCACCTTCACCATGACGCGCTTCTACGCGCCCAACCACACGATCTCCTCTTTCACTACCCTCACCGCCGCGCTCTTAGACCGCCTCCGCACCCTGCACATCCCCCACCACGCCCACCACCACCCTCCACCCCTCTTTCTACGCCGCCTACAACGCCACCTGGGGCAGCGACGTGGCGCTCAACAGCGCGGGGCGCATCTCCGTCCCGGGCAACCGGCTCCTCCCGCGGCGCAACTGGCTGGACGCGACGCGGTTCAACGCGACCTTCGGCGTGCTGCGGCGGCAGGTGGAGGGCGGGCGCGCGCTGATGGGCTATCACCAGGCGCCGGGGCGGCGGGCGGGGGTCGGGGCGGAGAACGCGGTCAACTCGGCGTGGCGCGAGGCGGTGTGTTTTTTGATCTTGTCCGGGAGGCGGGCGGTGGGGCATGGGGGGGTGGGGGGTGGGCCGAGCGTGGACGAGGTGCGTGCCGCGTCGTGGGATTTGAGGGGAGAATGTGATTGGGCCGTTGAGGGAGGTCGCGCCGGAGAGTGAGGGAGGTGGGGCGTATTTGAATGAGGCGAATGTGGATGAGCCGATGTGGAGGGAGGCGTTTTATGGGGTGTATTATGGGCGGTTGTTGGAGGTGAAGAGGAGGAGGGATCCGAGGGAGGTGTTTTATGCGACGACGGCGGTGGGGAGTGAGGGGTGGGAGGTGAGGGATGGGGATATGGGAGTGCAGACGCAGAATGGGAGGTTGTGTCGGGTTTGAGGGGGTGGTTGTTTTTTGGGATGTTGTTTTGTTTTGTGTTTTTGCTTTCTTTTTTGTTTGGGTGGCCGGGTGGTTGGGTGGTCGAATGAAGGGTTGTTAGCGATCGCAGTGTGTAATTGGTAGGCGGGAAGGTAGGAGAAGGGGGAGAGGGGGATTGATAAGCCAGTTTCGTGGTCGCTATTTTCAACGACACCAGAAAACTGGTCTGTGATGCAGTGGTAGCATCAACACGATGGGGTTGTTAGAACTTAGATACGGCGGACCCCGGTTCCGTGCGTATACCCGGGCCCGGACGCATTATGGTTCCCAGCGGTTGAGGCTTTGCCCGTTGAGTTCTCTCATCAACGGCGGATCCTGGCAAGTCGGCTTCCTGTGTTTTGCGTGCCAATCTCACATCATGTGGTATTTTGTGGTTTTTCGTAGTTTTACATGTGTTCATACCTGATGTATGCAAACTTAAGGTACCTATCTTGCTCTTCCCAGTCCCTACCAGCGCTGCTTTGGCCCACGGTTTTAAAATCGAAAGCTTAATTGTTGGTACAGGTGCTACCGTGCACTCAGGTTGTCATTCACTTGACATTATCCTTTCAGCTCTCGCCCTCCCCGGTCCTTGTCAGGTTGTTCGGCCGCACTATGCAGGCCAACGGTTTCCGGCGGCTTCGCCCCATGCCTCTTGGCCCATCTTCTTGCCCTAGCGAATAACACACATGTCGGGACAGTTGGCCCTGTATTGGCCGTCGAAGCGGAAACCGAGTATGCTGGGTTCGGATTGTCCATTCGCGAGAAATAATGAACCCCGTCGTTGATAAAAATACGGTTTCTGGACTTCGAAATAGGGACAGCTGCCTCAATAGTCATGATGCCATCCTTTAAGGTCATGCTTAGACAAACCCTGCGTTCATCCGCCCATCCAGCTGGTATGCTTTTGTTGCCTAGATCTGAAACCAGCATGACAAGGTCAAGCTGATCCCTGAGAGCACCGTTCCACCTCTCCTGAAGCGGAATGTGGCGGCGTGGGCGGATAGAAAGACGAAGCCTTGGCCAGGTGCTAAGAACTTGTTGAAGCACCCGCAAGATAAATGGTTGGAGCTGTCGGAAGGTTGGCGACTCCGAGTGATATTCCCAAAAGTTAGGGCTGCGGGGTACGTTCGTGTACGACAAACCGACTAACCCAGCATTCTGAGAGAGGCTGTCGGCAGGCACATGCGGAAAGATGTTGTGGCGGTGTCCTGGCATCCAGCGGAGAACGAGATGGACCGTTGGGCCGAGTTGTCCAAGCAGCTGAGATTGCGTTCGAATGAAGCTGGCAGCGGGTAAAACCAGCTTCCACAACCATTTGTTTATTTTATCCCCGTCCAGCACTCGTAGGGAACTGTTGGAATCGCTGAAGATTGTGACGTTGACCCTCTTTCCCATGAGGGCGGCGCGGTGGTCTTGAACTTGTTGGATTGCCACAGCGAGGCTCTTAGCAATTGCCAGCATTTCTCCAAGGTTCGAGTCGGGCAGCGGGTCGATCGGCCACGCCGTCTCGACGAATCCGCCGTCTGCCTCACCCCCTTCGCTGTCATCGCCCGGCATCAAGGGCCGGTGCACTACTGCATACCCGCCCACCTTCTCTTGATGCTGAAATGACGCATCGGAGAAAATATTGAGGGTGAGATCCCTCCATGTCGATCAGCGGCGGGCGGCGAGGTCTGCGAACCGCGTGGCATCCTCTCGTTGTTTAGGTGATGGGACGATTGTCCCCTGGACTCGCCATTGTGAGTCCTTTGGCATTTTGTGTACCGTGTGAATATAATTGAAGACAGACGTGAGTTGATTCATCTTTTGACCAGTCCAGCCGAGCTTGATTGTGTGTTCTAGGCAAACTTACAGCGGTAAGTTGTAACATGTGCCACGGTTCGGACTGCATGTAGGTACATAAGGTACACACAGGTAAAGCCAGGGGTACCCACCTTGCTGTAGGTGCCTAACGGCAAATACCTTACCCAATTCTTCCGGCTTCCGATTTGATTTGTGTTTTCTCTTAAACATTGAAGCCCTTCTGCTCTCAGTCCTTCATCGTGAAACCGAACAAAACAAAATACAAAACGGAACGCGAAATTGAATGCGAAATTGAACACTCGACAGCGAAATACCGCCAATTCTGAATTCAAATCAACCGTGATGGCGCCAACAGCCATCAGCCCCTCACGATGAGGCGAGACATGGAGGAGCAGACGCCACCGCCAACGATTCTCCTAAGGCTGCCTCCCCCCCTACGCCATCGCGTATATCTTCACATAGGCATAGCCCGCCGCGACGGGCGCCCATACACGTATTACCTGAATGGCCGCAAGGAGTCACGAGAAATTGTTTCGGCCTTTGACCCGCCTCCGACGCGCAACTTCATGGGTTTACTCCAGTCCTGTCGCGCCTTGTACACCGAAGCCGCTGCCCTGCTGTATTCTGCCAACCAGTTTGTCATTCACGCTCACAAAGCCTCTGTCGAGCCCCTCCGAGCTCTGTCGCCAACAGCTATCGCCTCCTTGACGAGTCTCAAGATCGTTCTCAACGAGACCTCCTGCCACTCTCCAATCAACTCGAGCAGCTACCCACCGGTTTGCTGTTGTGACGACGTCGAGCGTCAGCCGCACCCCAATAGTGTCCGCGCCTATTGCGCCAGATACCACAAGATGCACCATCGACCGCTACTCGATCCCGTCTCGTCGGGCACAGACCCGAGTTCCCCTAAGTCAGCAGCCCAAGCTCTACTGACTAACTGGCACGACGCTGCGGTTCATTTGTCGCCCCACGTTCGCCCGGGGCATCTACAGCTCTCGTTAGTCTGCGATGTAAGTTGTCAGCACGAGTATACACTGGAGGCTGGTCGGCTAGCCATCGCTCCGCTCGCCCTCTTCCCGCCCCTCAAAGACTGCCATGTGCGGCTCTGCGAACAACGGGACCGCGCGCTCCAGCGGCTAGCCGAAAGCGCCGCCCTTGATGCTCGTTTTAAGTCGTCGATTCTTCGTCTTGCACCTGCCAAGACCCCGTCGGCTCTAGTAGACCTGCCGATCGAACTGCGACTTCTTATTCTCGAATATACAGACCTAGTAACACCCTAGAAGGAGGTTACGTGGAGTAGGAGATTTTTTCGCTACCAAGTATGCCCCCCAGCTTGTCACCATTACGAGCATACATGCGAGCCTCACATCCATCACGGTTGCCGGCTGAACCAATGCCTGGGCGTCGAACCCTCGGCCCGGCCAGCACCATCCCCCGGCTGCTTTTGCCGTCGCCGACACGCTGCCTTCTCCTCCACCTGCAACTGCTGGGACCCGCCAACCAGCCTCTTTCTCGTCTGCCGCGTCTTATACCGCGATGCCCAGCTTGTCTTCTTCTCGCGTAACCGTTTTATTGTCCACGACGTCCAGGCGTCGCCGTACTGGGCCCTGGATTCTATAACCCTGGGAAACGAACCAGAGGACTCGGAAACGGCTAGCACTGCGGTGGACTATCCCTATGGGCGTCTTGCTGCGTCGCATTTCCTTCGAGATGCAATCCCTATCGACTGTCTCGCCCACCTCCGATTCCTCGAGCTTGTGTTCCCGCCCTATGGGCCGCACGACTGGCCCGTTGATCAACACCCCGCCATAGTGGACTGGCGCAACACGGTTAAGTGGCTGCGTTGTAAGATCAACACACCGGCGCTTACCGAGCGTGTTGTCTTTGCAGACTTCTTCAACGACCCGGCGGCACACCGCTGGCAAACGACCCAGGACGAGGAGCTGCAGATTGTGAGAGGCTACATGGACATCGCTCAATCGTTGAGGGCCCTGGTCCAGCACGACGGTCTAGCCTCGCTATTCGTACAGGCTGCATTTCCCTGGTCATGGGGAGAGGCCGTCACCCGACGGGCGGCACATCCGGACAGCTGGTGGATCCAGCAGCTGGCCGAGGAGGAGCAACGGCTGAAGGAAAGATTGGAAGGCATACCAGGCCGTGAGGGGCTTGTCGATTCACGCCGCAAACCTGAGCCGGGAAGGAGCAATTGGCAGACCTGGTATGATGTCGAGTGGTGGTCTTAACTTGGGTAGTGACTCAGCGTCTTCCCATGCTGGATCAGCGCGCGTCATTTAGAGCTAGGGACATAACGTCAAGGAGTTTTTATATTAGAGAAAACAACCCCCAAATCTTGCTGGCCAGTGATCTCTTTAACCGCGGTGTGGACGCATGATGTGAAAAGAAAGTACTTACGGAAATTACCAACCCCTTAGTACACACCTCGCCCTCGCCCCTACATATGATCCTACCCACCCTGACCACAAGCAGGCGCCCGGCCCCCTCCTGCGCCTACTCGGCCTCGACCGTGTTCCAAAATGATTTTGTATGGCGCACCACCCTCATCTGCTCGATCTCTTCCTCCATCTGATAGACGGCACACAGGTATGTACGGGCAGCTCGTTGAGGCAGCAGTAATTAGTTGCACATAGAAAAGTAGGAAGAAGAAGAGCGAATTCAAAAAAAAGCAATTAGTAGAGGATTGCGGTGTATTTATCAAAACCTGGTGAGTTTATTAGTGAAGTGTCCCGACCTGGGCACCTGGATCCCAGCAACGACCGAAGCCGGTCTTTGCCGGGTGTGGTACGGAGATGTGGGGCAGTAACGGAGCCCGGCCCCCAAAACCGGGAGACTCGGCCGGATATGTGGGGCAGCTGTCAACGACGTCATACATACGTTGCCAGTTAAACTTGTCTGGCGCAGTTCCCAGAACCTGGAACCACTATCTATCCTTCCTCATAGCTCACTAGTAGCAGTTGATCGTTCACTCATACTTCGACCACCACTAGTATTTTCACGCCTCCCTTCAAGTAAAAGAAAGGAAAAGTCAAAAAAGAACATCCCTTCACCATGCCGAGCAAGCAGATTCCCATCGCAAACCCCCCTCCCCTCGCCTTCCCATCTCCCCGACAGTGTCCTGGAACTTTCTGTAAAGCTCAAGGAGAAACCTCTATCGGACGACGTGCGCCAATCCCTCCGCGGCTTCCAGCGAGCGGCCGAGTACATTGCTGCTGGTAACAGCCCCCACTCAGTCCCCTTGCGCCCACTTTCCGCTAACACCGAAGGCCAGCAATGATATTTCTAAGGGACAATGTTCTCCTCGAGTCTGAATTGAAACCCGATCACATCAAGCCACGGCTTCTAGGTACGCCAAATACCATCTTATTGCCGTTTGCATGTCCCATTGCGCCTAACGCAGACCCATAGGCCACTGGGGAACATGTCCTGGCCTTATCCTAGTGTGGTCCCACCTGAACCTGCTTATCCGCAACCACGACCTTGACATGATCTATGTTGTTGGCCCAGGTCATGGTGCGCCCGCTGCCCTAGCCGCCCTGTGGTTGGAGGGTTCGTTGGAGAGATTCTATCCCGATGAGTACGGTTGCAATGCCGAGGGGTTGAAGAACCTCATCACAAGGTTCTCCGTACCTGGCGGGTTCCCGAGGTGGGTCAAGGTCTTCTCCACGCGTCGAGCTTGTGGCTAATGATGATGCTTTGCAGTCATATCAATGCCGAAACTCCCGGCGCCATTCATGAAGGTGGAGAGCTGGGCTACGCGCTAGCTGTGTCATTTGGCGCCGTCATGGATAACCCCGATCTCATTGTGACTTGCGTAGTTGGAGATGGCGAAGCTGAGACCGGGCCTACCGCAACGTAAGTTTCCAAGTATCTCTAACTGCCCCATGGTACTCACACACCCACCCAGGGCATGGCACGCCATCAAGTACCTCGACCCGCGCGAGTCAGGCGCCGTCATCCCAATCCTGCACGCAAACGGGTTCAAGATCAGCGAGCGCACCATCTTTGGGTGTATGGACGACAAGGAAATCGTGTCCTTATTCAGCGGCTACGGATATCAGGTGCTCGTCGTTGAGAATTTGGACAACATTGACGACGAGCTGCAGAATGCTCTGGAGTGGGCAGTTTCTGAGATCAAGAAGATCCAGAAGGCGGCGCGGTCAGGGGAGCCAATTGCGAAGCCCCGATGGCCGATGCTGGTTTTGCGGACGCCCAAGGCAAGATTTATTCCCGCGTCGATGGAGAGGGTGTTGCATGACTAACACATACCAGGGTTGGACTGGGCCGAAGGAGGTGGAGGGTAAGATCATCGAAGGCTCGTTTCACGCCCACCAAGTACCCCTGCCCAAGGCCGGCAGCGACAAGGAGCAGCTCAAAGCGCTCGACGACTGGCTGTCGAGTTACAAGATTGGCGAACTTATTAAGGACGGAAAGCCGACCAAAACTGTCCTTGACGTGATGCCTCACACAAACGAAAAGAAGCTCGGCCAACACAAGGCGACATATAACCCGTATGTCGGTCTCAAGGCAGTCGACTGGCAATATTTCGGCGCCAAAAAGGGCACAAGCCAGAGCTGCATGAAGCTCACCGGCAAGCTGCTCGACAAGGTTTTCCAGGAGAACCCCCAGACTATCCGCCTCTTCTCACCCGACGAGCTCGAGAGCAACAAGCTGGATGCCCTACTGGAACACACACAGCGCAACTTCCAGTGGGATCAGTACTCGCGCGCCAACGGCGGGCGGGTGATCGAGGTGTTGTCGGAGCACAACTGTCAGGGCTTCATGCAGGGGTACACGCTGACGGGCCGCACCGCCATCTTCCCCAGCTACGAGTCCTTCCTGGGCATTGTGCACACCATGATGGTGCAGTACTCCAAGTTTGTCAAGATCGCCCGCGAGGTGAAGTGGCGCGGCGACCTGCCGTCCATCAACTACATCGAGACCAGCACGTGGGCACGACAGGAGCACAACGGCTTCTCGCACCAGAACCCGTCGTTCATCGGAGCTGTGCTCAACATCAAGCCCGAAGCAGCCAGAGTACCGGTCCTATCTCCCACCACCAACCGCGCCCCCCCTTTCCGGAATTGGGTAAACTAAACACCCC